CTGAATGATAACTCATAGCAAACTTCCTTGCTGCTAGGGTGGCTGTTACTTATGCTTCCACAGGTGTTCCTTTGACTTTTATCATTAATTTAGTGAAAGCTCAGTGAGACTATCAATGTGATAAAAGATCAAAATTACCATCACATTTCCCCCTTTAACAAATGTCTTGTATTATAAATGTAGCATGTTTAGCACATTGACTTTTTTCCTTCTGCATCTTCTAACTTGAATAGTTTGCACTTTGAGGTTTTTGTATTCTTTTAATACAAAAATTATACCCTGTCCGCATACATGTGCTTCCTGCCTTCTGAAATGCACAATATTGGGAGATGAGAAAATAGGCCCAGATAACAGAAAATCACTTAATTAGTAAGATGGTCATTATCATAGACATTACCATAGTCATTATCATTGGCTCCTTTCTAGTTATTATATTCATATCTCCACAAGTCTCATTTACTCCCTACTCTACCCAGCATTCTTCATATGACCTAGAGATTCTCTGATTCCCAAAGCTGAACATAGTATTAAAATAACTGGTGGTGTCTCCATTTCAATTTTGTCAGTGAGTAAATGTCATTTATCTCATGCAGTCACATTTTAGGCATTTTTCTAGAATAGCTATTTAAAACTAATTGGGCTGTATGTGGTGGCTTATGGCTATAATCCCAGCACTTTGTGACGCCAAGGCAAGAGGATTACATGAGTCCAGGAGTTCAAGGCCAGCCTGGGAACAGCGAGACTTCATCTTTACAAAAGAAAGTGTTTTGTTTGTTTGTTTTGTTTTGTTTTAAATTAGGTGTGGTGATGCATGCCTGTAGTCTTAGATGTTCAGGAGGCTGAGGCAGAAGGATTGCTTGAGCCCAGGAGTTCGAGGCTGCAGTTAACTCTGTGATTGTGCTGCTGCACTCCAGCCTTAATGACAGAGTGAATCTCTGTCTCTTAAATAAATGAAATTAATTGGTCCTAAAGTCCTTAGGCTTCTTTCTAGAGCTTCTCAGTGGTAAATATTCTAGAACTTTTGCATGTTTCTCAGTATAAAAGCCTTTCAGCTGAGAAAACATTTGTGGTAGGAAGCCCAAAATTATTATTTCAGTTTTTCAGATCAGATATACTCATAGCTGCCATGTCCTTTATCTCTTAAGCAAGGTTTTCATAATGAAACAAAACTCTGTATCTCCTTATTTTTCCCCCATATGAGTCTGTTACTAAGGGTACTTGATGCAAAAACTAGTGAAATTCTCTCCATTCCAGAATGTATCTTGTCTGATTTAACTTCTTTTTAATTGGGTAGGGTTTTAAAGTGTTCTTAGTGAGACATTGAAATTGAGGAACTCCATTCTTTCATCTGGCCTATCTGTTCTATTATATCTTCCACTATTGCAGTTGAATGCCATGGCCAACCGAGCAGCTGGGAAAGGGTATGAAAATGAAGACAACTATGCCAACATTCGCTTCAGATTCATGGGCATTGAGAACATCCATGTGATGCGGAACAGTCTGCAGAAACTTTTGGAAGGTAAAGAGATTTCACCTTGGCTAGGCAAGAGGCCATAGCTTTGCATTATTATGTAAGCAGAAAGCATGCCTGATTTGGGGTGAAATATAAAAGCAAGCAGGTGAGCAGTGTCAATAAGTGGCTAAGTGTTTGACTATAGTACGAATCTAGCTTACATAGTACTAAATTATAGCAGTGTTGGTCTGGAAAAGGGACTATGATGTTCAGTTTCGTAATTCAATAAAGTTCATCTGGGTCTAGTTGGTATGAAAATTATTTCTCTCTATGGAATTACTGAGGTTGATTTTCAGGGATAGGCAAACCAACATAAGTATTTTATAAATTGGGATTCATTTTATCATCCTCAAGGTAAGAAATTACCTTATTTAATTTGCTATCAGGATTTAGTCTGATTTTATCACTGTGCTGATGAAGTTGAATTTAGACTTCAAAGGAATAAAGTTGATATCAGACAGTTTTGGTGATCTGTTATTGACTACAAAATGATTAGGGTCAGAAAGGGGGCAAGGTGGGATTGGGGCCTTACAAGACTCTTGGATATAGAGAGCATTTCTTCTAAAACTACTACCCAGGATTCCACAATGTGGTATGCCAACTCAGGCAGAGATGGTGAAAACCTGCCTTCTTTAGTGAACTCCCCATTCTTCCTCTCCTTTCTTCAATTTTGAACTGGTGTAGTCTGCCAGGACCTCTCCTTTACACCATCATTGCCAGATCTCATCTGCTTAGTCTGCATCTCTTTTAAAATATTAGTGTCCCTCTTCCT